TAACACTTCTGTGGTAAATGTGAACGAGAAGATTAGTCCTTCGCGGGCGAAAGATACTAAAATATCACGCGATTTTTTTTTTGTCCTTTTATCGCGGTATTTCAATTCATCGATATTCAAAATAATATTTTTTCAAGCGCTCCTCATGGAGAAAAAGTGGAAAATTAAATAACTATGAACATTTTTGCTTTTTTTGTTCAAATATATGCACACTACATAATAGTCTGGGCTATTTGAGAAGGAGAGTCACGACAGGTGGTCTAAAGTGATGCTAGAAATTAATAATTTATTACAAATCTCGTCTCCTGGCAGCAGTGATTAGGTTAATATCATGGCTTTGATCTTCTAGTTTACATGAAATATAATTTGTAAGGACTTAAAAGCATAGATCTTATTAGAAATCTGTAGACTGTTCTTCAATAGATGGGTGCAACTGGTTCACATGTGATTCATACAACGTAACTCATACAATGTAACAATGAATTATATTCATACATGTACCAATCCAATAAGCACAAGATTTTAATTGTAATATGTATTAGAGAAAAAGTATGATTTGTGCATTTCTGAAGAGTAGTTTAAATACCTGACTGTGTATATATTGTTGAATTAAGACAAACAAAATGGAGTTGAGAGGGGAAATTCCTACAGTCTCATTAAAACATTCACTAGATTTTTCATTCAAAGTATGGTGTTGAAACTCAGTAGAATATGAGTGACACAACAATTTTGTTAAGAATATTCTCAAAATAGTTGTAAACAAAAAAAAAAAGCTTGGGCCACTATAATTTTAGCATTAGAAAAGATGGTCTGCACAGTAATCTGAATATCCTCTGATCTGTGATGGCTTTTGGTGTTCTTTTCAATGAACTATTTTATTGCCAAATTTGGAAACTGGTGGGCAATGGACATAATCAAGTAGATTGTGTTAAATTAGATGAGTATTGTAAATATAATTAAGTGAGGGGGCAAAATCAAATCCAAGGGATTAAAGACATTACTTAAATTCCCTCTAGGGTTTGCACAGAATGCAGTTATTTAATTTCTTAAATTATAGAAACTTTCACACTAATCAGGAAAGAATGCAAAAATGAAGACTAATTAATCTAGATGAAATTTTGAGTTTTTTAATTCTTTTTTAGTTTAGAAGCTTCCAGTAGAGCTAGTAAATATGTGATCATTATCTGTCTGCACTTGTTGGTTTTATATCAGAAGTCTCACTCCTTGAATATTTAATACTTCCAACTTGTGCATAATTGCCACATGGACAGACTTTCCATGAAGTATTCTATATATGTGACCTTTCCATTTCAGTAAAAGCCTGCTACCTGTGAGGACAAAGCAGATAATGGCAACATTGTTTCTGTTCACTATACAGCATGCACATGTATGACTTCATGTTGTCTGCTTCTTACTTGAAAGCATTACAGGGAATTCCTAAGGAAAGGATGTTCTCACAAGCTTACATTTTTCTAGCCAGAAATTTGAACCAAAAATTGTTTTAGTCACTTGGGTGCCAAGCTGTTATTAATAAATAGATTTTGGCATCCTCTCCCTTTAGCTTTCTATTATCATTTGAAATTATACTGCCCAAACAAAAAGACAAAAATAAACTGCCAAAATAAAAACAACAACAACAACAACACAAAGTAAACAACAACAAAAAGTAAAAACCTGTTCTCAATTCTTATTAAAAATGTAGCTATCAAAAATGTTTGAATTTCCTTAATTTGAAAATAAACTCTTTTAGGGTACACTGGAAAATGGGCAAATATTCGATTCATCCCTGGCAAAAGGAAGGGAGCCACTTGAGTTCCAGTTGGGCAAAAGGAAGGTTACCAAAGGTAACTTGCTCCAGGACCTCTTTGATTATTTTGCCATACTATCAGGGTGATTTAATTTCAGATTCATAAAGCCAAAGTTATCAGTCAATTGCTCCCTAGAGCAAAAAAAATATATAATGAGCTGATGAGAACTCAGTTTAACAACAAGTAAATTGAATAAAGCATGAAAACACTCAAATGAGCTTTGTGGCCATCGGTTTTTGAGTTTTTAATCTGATTGGTTGAGAAGATGGAGCAAGTGTTCTTGACCAATCACAAAGGAACACGAAGTCCAGAAACCACAACTTTAAATTTGGTTATTGTCATTACTTCGATTTATTCAAATGAAAATTCCTCAAAATGCAACATGTTGACTTCTTTTACTATCTGGTTTCTAATCCTTTTGATTGAAAGCTCCCAATTAAAACCATTTTAGAGATGTTGAGATTTCCCAATTCTTCATGTCATGTATATAAAATATTCTCTTGACTTACAATTTGTGAATTATTTAGCTACCAGAGTATGACTTACAACTATATGACATTTAATTAGTCATGCACATGTGCATAATAAGGTATAAAATTATAAAGAAGAAAAGACTGAAAGCTAATAAAACTAGAAAACAATCACCTTTCAATAAGGCACCTCTTTATCCTTTATTTATTAATTTATTTGTTTACAGGTTGGGAGATGGGTATAAAAGAAATGTGCATAGGGTAAGTTTTAGAATTGCTATGTAATAAAAAATGACAACGAGGTCAGAGATTTTCGTTATGAGCAGACATTCGTTATTAGAAATTAGTACCATTGAGCAAGGGACTCGTTCTAAAGGGGAGCTTTGCAGGATTTCCTCAAGTGAAAAAAAAAACCTGCTTCAAATTTTACTTCTAAGCGACAAGTTAGGGTGCAAAAAATTGTGCCCATGGATGGATACTATTTTCCAAATTCTATTCCTTTAAATGAGCTATTTGCAACATAACTGACAACAACATTGGCATGGCAACTCTTCAGTAAAACTCCCTTTGGGCTTCACAGCCCCTTACCGTCTTAACTGCCTTTCTCACCCTCCTTTTCGCATTGTTTATTCTCTACAAAAAAGTTCAAAAACCCTTTTGGTTGATCATTTTTGTGGCTTCCTCAAATGAGTTTACAGAAGTGGTGCTCAGGCTGATATTTTTCAACAGTCTACCATTCTGCTTTATCTCTTTTGCAGTGAAAAAAGAAAATTGATCATCCCTCCTCACCTAGGGTACGGATCTCGTGGAATTCAGAATGTTATTCCTCGTAAGTAAATGTTGATTATAACAACGACTATGGAGGAACTAAGGGGGCCTATAAGTACAGAAAATGGCCTGAGCACAAGTGCAAGTCCTAATTTATGACACAAGTGATATTGGGGAAGTTTTCTTAACCCTTTAACTCCCAAAATCTGATTGTTAATTCTCCCCTGTAGCTGCTACACATTTCCTTGTAAATTAGTTATAAGAACTTGGTGGTAGATCAAGATAGCAGCTTCTACCTGATAAGTTTGAATATTCTCATTACTTGTTTGCTGAAGAATGTATGGATATTGTGGGGGGAAGTTTTATGTTAATCACTTCTGGGAGTTAAAGGGTTAATTGAACTTGGACAACCAAAACATTTCAGAATGTCACAAGGGGCCCATTAATCACAAAATGCTAAAGTAGTTTGTATGATTTTTGACTTATTATATTATCAAAAAATTCATTTTTCAAATCTCTTTGTTTGTCCTCAATGCACATTAATTAAAAGAGAAAATTTCCAATGAGTTAGAAAATGCTCATATTTTCTTTGTAATGGCAATTTGATAAAATAATTATGACATTTCAACCAAGTTTAAAGTTTTTTGAAATATTTAGAACTTAGCATTTTTTGTTTGTCTTTAATTCTGAGCACATGCAATATGTAAATTCTGTGTTGTAATTTAAAACTCGTTTTATTGAGCATGATTCATTAACCAATCACGAACAAGATATCTGTTGGTTATGTGGTGATTGCCAAATAGGGAAAAAATTTCTTTTAAATTTCTTGTTATAACACGGAATGGGAATGGTCAAGAAGCCTTTCCTTTTCGCTCCCTTTGCAAGATTTCTGTACAGCCCCATTCTTCATTATGCAGATAGTTTATGGATAAAGAAAATAATGGCAGAAACAATATTTTGCCTTTAGGACTACAACTTTGATTTGTTTTAGAATAGTATGGGGTTATAAAGAAATCTTTCTGCTAATCATGATATTAATATCATTCTACGTTACTGAATAAACAGCAAATCCTAACATTTTCTTATTTTTGCTCTATTCACACATAGCTGACTCTGTACTAATTTTTACCACCGAGCTCATGTCCATTAAGAGGAAGTCGCTGTTCGATCCAAAGTTACTGCTGCAAATAGGATTTTGGCCGCTCCTGGCTGGAGTGATTTTGTACTATCTGTATAGAAAGGCATCTAAGAAATCTGGCAAGCCTGAAACAAAGTCGAGCAAGAAAAATAAAAGGAAGTAATAAAACTGTGAACCTTTTTAGTAATGAGGTTATTCGTAAATGATATCACAGTATGCCTCTTACTCGGCATCAGTTGACTATGACACGATTTTGTACCCTAATTTGGGAAACTTTCCATGCGCAACGCTTGAAGTTCGTTGACCACTCTGGAGCAATCAGCGTAGAAACCAGAACTCGGTTAGTGATTGAGAAAGGTGACAATTAACCCTTTAACTCCCAAGATCTGATTGTCAATTCTCCCCTCTAGCTACTACACATTTCCTTGTTAATTGATTACGAGAATTAGGTGTTCAATCAAGGTAATAAATTGTACCTGATGAGTCTGAGTGTTCTCATTACCTGTTTGCTGTATAATATATGGATACTAGAGGGAGAAGTTACTTGGTAATCACTTCAGGGAGTTAAAGGGTTAAAGTACATTGCCTGAAGCGCGGGCAAACGCGACTGACCAATTCGCGATTAGCTTTTAATTTAGATTTGATTGGTTGAGAGGATGGTGCAAGTTTTCTGGACCAATCACAGAGCGCAGTAAAGCAAACCCAAAGCGAACTTGGCTTGCTTTTGACACTTCACACTTACTTTAGACAGCGAAGATTGCTCTACATTTTCTTAAGAACCAGTCAAATAATCTATCGGAAAGTATTATCCGCTGCTATTAACGATTATTTAATGGTAATGTTATTCACGAAATGACGTGGAATGTCACGGTTAATAGAATTTGTTCGTTTGTTCGCCGTAATGGCGCTTCTACATGTTATCTCTCTTCCCATGGTTAACTGAAGAGATAACTTTACAAGAAACGAGGGCATTTAATTCAGCTTTCGCTCACTGAATTCTTTCGGTTTCTGATGTGGAAGTCCGAATTGAAAGAACTTACCGAAAGTTTAGTTTAGAAGAACTCATAACTATGCTTAAATTTTGTTCACCGAAAAAATTAGGAGAATCCAGGCATTAAATGACTGAACGTGAGAATTATTAATTAAAATGCCAATAAATACCTCTCCAAGTCATTTTGCAAAGGAGTGAAAAATACCTATGGTGTTTAGACGGCGTGTCAAGTGTTATAACCCAATCAATGATACATTTGCGATAACAAATTTGTTTGGAAACCAATTTTACGCAAACAACGAAAATGATTTGAGGAGTAAAAATTTACATAAGTCATTGTAAGGTCAACCCTAGTAATAGTGATCTATGAGAAAGGCTTTAAAGACGCTGTCCCCCGCTGGCAAAAAATGGATATCTACATAACACAACTCATCAACCGACGAATATCACCCGCTGTGAGCGTGTGTGTGTGCGTGTGTGGAAGAGGGGGGTGGGGGTGGGGGGGAGAAGGGGGATTGCCCGCTCCTAGAACCAATCAAATCAAAAAATTGTAAAATTCCGGCTGCTCACGAGCTGAGAAAAAAAGAAAAACTAATGGTAAGCTATTAACCGTCTAAGGGAAGGTCCGTATGGTGGAAACTTGAAAATGCTGCCCTCTAGCGGAGATTTATACTGTAAGGACCTCCCAGTCGGTAAATAATATACTTATCTTTCCACTGACATGTCATTTTCAATCCGAGGACATAATACTGCGGAAATAAGTTTTCCTTTTCGAGAAGTTGATAAAAGAAGAAAATGAAAATGCCTTTGAGATGAGATCTGTAGTTTTGGATTCCCGGCTCAAAAAAGTAAGTCAGTGTTCATGAAAAAAAATATTTAGCGTAAAGAAGATTTGGCATAATTTGGATTTGAAAGTCAAATACTGTTATGACTGAAATAATAAAAGCGTTGGTTGCCGATGAATAGTCACGTTAGTCATATAATTTAGTCAGTTTATTCAGTTCATTGCAACATTATATAAATTAGTTATTAAAACTGCTCAAAGAGAAAAGGGAGAAGAAAAAAAAACAAATAAACCTTATTTCAGTTCTCTTTTGAGGTAGACGTGATGGAAATTTTTGTCTATCTAAAACTCTCAATTTATTAAAAACAACAATGAAAACAGCTGTAAAAGCCTATACCTCTGTGTGAATTAATTATCTTCTGCTTATGCGGATAAACGCGATCAGATTCTTACAGAGTAAAGGGAAATCAGCATTCAGGTACTAAACATAAGAGTTTCGTTTCTTTCTGTTCTTATTTCATAATAGTTTAATTCATCTCTCTCGCTCACTATACGGTACAAAAGTTAGATTTGAAAGTAGAGAGAATTTTTTTGTTCATAGGAAATAAGCTTCCTAGATATTGACACATGGCGATCCTTTCGATGACATTATTTTTGTTCTGTTTGTTACCACTGTATTTATCCTAAAATATTCTAGCCTCTGAAGTTCTGTAATTCGATCATTTTAGTTTGTTTTCTCTATTTTTGTGATTTTATGTTATAGTTAGGTGAATTTTCCGCTTTTTTTGAGAAACAAAGGACACGAAAAAAGTTAAACATTTTAATCGACTAATTGATCGACATAGAAAAGAGTCTAAATTCTTCGAAAAACACAAATAGTAGTATTATCCTCGAAATAATAAACAAGAGTGTATGTTTTGTAATGGTATTTTACAATAGAGATGCGAATTTTACTGAAAGGGAAACATATTCCTTGTAAAACGTTAATTTGAAAGTCAAATGGCACCTGAGAAAAAAGAAACGAAGAAGTCAGTTAGTGAACGATAAACAGTTATATTTACAGAGTAACGGACATAAAAAAAAAAAAAAAAGTTTACAACTCTTCGATTTTGTGGAGTCTTTCCAGAAGCCTTGTTCAAAAATCTATGTCCTAATGAGAAATTGAAAAATTGCTGAATTAATTATTCTTTTACGTGATATGGAAAGCGCGCAACGCATACAGATCTTTTTTTCTGTCAGTTCTTTGATGATGTGCTGTCTAACGATTATTGCAGTAGAGTGACAAACTGCAATTTCTCTTTCTATCTTCAATATATGATGATATTAAGCAGATTTACTTTGAGAAGAACGAGACCGGTTAAACCACAAAATCGCAAACCTAACATTTCTGCGGCTTTTCTTCATCTAAAGATTAAAAAACACTTTTAAATAGTTTCTCGCGACGTTCGCACCATAAATTATGCAAAATATAACTAGTATATTTATATAGATATTGAAACATCTGTTGTTTAAAGGGCAATAGCCGTTCTCTTGCCAAAAAGAACGAATAGTAACGGTTTTAGAATTTAAGGTAAATTTTAGAACAATGAAGAACCTAGTTATTCTATTACGAGCTCTTTTTATCTAAAGGTGGCGAGCCTTCCTTTTTATTGCAAGATAACTACATGTACACAGTCAGTACAGATGTCGATCCTGTTGATGAATATGCTACGTGCTTTACCACAATATAGTTTCTAATATGTCTAAAATATTTTTCCACTGCAAAATCAACTCGATTCCTTTCAGTTTTAACCATTGTATCTGTGAGTTATGCTCTAGGTGTGCATTTTACGCCCTGTCAAAACCAGTACACGACAAAATGAGTAAAACTTGAATCAATTCATGATGACACTTCATTCAATTCATCGAAATCTCATTTCCCTCTACCAACATCGTTATATTGTCAAGAAAAATGGTGTTGAGAATTTTGGAAAACGATCAACTCGATCAAATGAAAAATTCAAATGACATCAGAGCACAAACAAGAAGCAGGAAGCTTGTAAAATTATCAGCTGAGTGATGGATAAAAGGATAACTATTCACAGCGCGAGGATTTCAATTTATTTCCTCCAAAACTCTAAATGCGTCATCAATATTCTTGCCGAAGAGGTTGGAGAACACCACAAGGGAAAAGAGAAGCACTTTCTTTGTGGGAAGGAAAATTCCAAAAAATTTGTACATTCTTTCTTCCTTACATTAAAAATGCATGAACATAATATTTACTTTGCGCAACGGTGGGGATTTTGTTCAGCGTTTCAAAAGGAATAAAAATCACCTTTATATTTCTTGTTTAGAGGATGAAAAGCGCCAAATATAGTATGGAATATTGTTATCGGTCGCCATGAATTAGCAATAAGTTTATCAACGATTCATCTCGTAACTGAATTCTAACTAAGCTCAGTGATCACATTAGAATTCCTATTTCTTATTTTAATGCGTTGTTAAGTGGTCTGTTAGCGAGAATTGAGAGACTGATCTGATCCAGTTTGGGTGCATGTCGATGAACTACGTAATCAAACCTGAAAATATGAACTTATCGAGATACTTTAAATGGCCTCTTTTCCGAGATATTTTGGTTAAGGAAGGAAAAGAAGAATGATTATCCGCTCTACAAAGATTTCGTACATGTATTTGAGCTATGAGGAACTAGCTTTTGACACCTGTCTTTGATCAAAACAATGATTTTTATTCGAAAATTTTATTTAAAAAATGGCCGCCTTTATGAAGATGAAGTTCATATAAAAATTGCGTTCTCATTAGGTGAATACTAGCATTTAAATGATTTCACAGATAGCTTCCGCCTTGGATACATATATCACTCCACACGTTAAACCGATGAAGAAAAAAATCCCCTTCACAAAGCTCTTTCAATCATTTTTTCTTTTTATTCCGTGTTTCTATTTTTGCATTCTTAGTCTAACGAACGATTTTACTGTTTGTTTTTTACTCTCTTTTGTTGCTTTCTGCTGACCATAGACATTGGCTTTTTTCTCCTTTACCATAAAATATTGTCTGGCTTGATGTAAGCTTACAATGAAGATTGAGGTCGTTCTAAGATAAGTCAACATATCACTTCTGCTTCTTGTATTACAACATTTAAACTGGCGTCTGATGAGAATAAAGAAAAACGTCAACGTGCAGAGTCAACCGACGACAGCGTCTCTCGAATTAACAATGAAATGGACAGAATTGTCCACTGTTTGAAAGGAAATAATTTTTATGATATTTCCATAAATAAAGGAAAACCAATTTAACATAATTTGGTTTTGAAAGTCAAATACTGTTTTGAATTAATAAAAGCGTTGGTCGCCGATGAATAGTCATAATTAAGTCGGTTCATTCAGTTCATTGCAACATTATATGAATTAGTTATTAAAACTGCTCAAAGAGAAAAGGGAGAAAAAAAAAAGAGAGCCAAGTAGACCTTATTTGAATTTCTCTTTTGAGGTGAACGTGGACTTGGAAAATTACGTGATGGAAATTTTTGTCTGTTTAAAACTCTCAAGTTATTGAAAACAACAATTAAAACAGCTTTAAAAACCTTTATCTTTGTGTGAATTAATTATCTGCTTATGCGGATAAATGCGATCAGATTCTTACAGAGTAAAGGGACAATCAACATTCACGTCCTAAACATGAGAGCTTCGTTTCGCTTCGTTTCTTTCTGTTCTTACCTCATAAAATTTTAATTCATCTGTCTAGCTCACTTTACGGTACAAAAGTTAGATTGGAAAGTAGAGAGCATTTTTTTAACTAAGGAATTAGCTTCCCAACTTCTTGAGTGCTTTAGCCGCTTCCTTCGAGATGTTGACAGATGGCAATCTTTTCCATGAAATATTTTTGTTATGTTTGTTACCACAATGTTTATTCTAAACTATTTCTAGCTCCCGGACTTCTAGTTCTTCAACTCGATCATTTTAGTTTGTTTCTCTGTTTTTGGGATTTTTTTGTTATCGTTGGGTGCATTTCCCACGTTTTCTGAGAAACAAAGCACACGAAAAAGTGAAACATAATTGTTTTTTCACAGCACTTCATATAATTTCTCAGAATCAAGTTTCTCCTCACCATTAACGGTACATTTTCAAGAAGAATGATGTTGAGAGTTTAGGAAAATTGATCGACATAGAAAAGAGTCCAAATTCTTCGACAAATACAAATAGTAGTATTATCCTAGTAATATTCTAAGAGTGTTATGTTTTGTAATGGTATTTAACAATGCAGATGCGAATTTTACCGAACGGAAAACATATGCCTTGTCAGTTGTTCAAACGTAAATTTGAAAGTCAAATGCCATCTGAGAGTAAAGACACGAAGCAGTCAGTTTGTAAACGATCAACAGTTATATTCACAGAGTTACTCTTCGACTTTGCCGAGTCGTCTTAAAAGCTTTGTTCAAAAATCTATGTTTCGATAAGAAAATGAAAAACAACAAAGGAAAACGAAAATATATGCGGAATTAATTATTCTTTTTACGTGATATAAATAATCTTTTTTCTCTGTAAGTTCTCCGATGATGTGCCGTGTAACAATTATAGCAGTAGAGTGATAAAAGCGCAATTTCTCCTTCTATCTCCAATTTATGTGGATACTTAAGCAGATTGCTTTCGAGAAGAACGAGGCCGGTTAGACCACAAAATTGCAAACCTAACATTTCTCTGGCTTTTCTTCATCAAAAGATTGAAAAACACTTTTAAATAGTTTTTCGTGACTTTCGCAACATGAATTATACAAAAGATAACTAGTATATTTATATAGATATTGAAACATCTGTTGTTTAAAAAGCGATGGCCGTTCTCTTGCCAAAAAGAACGAATAGTTACGGTTTTTGAATTACAGATAAATTTTAAAACAATGAAAAACCTAGTTATCCTACGAACACTTTCTATCTAGAGGCGGCGAGCCTTCCTTTTTCATTACAAGATAAATGCATGTACGCAATCTGTAGAGATGTCAATCCTGTTGATGAATATGCTACCTGCTTTACCGCAATATAGTTTCTAATATGTTCGAAGTAATTCTCTACTGCAAAATAAACTTGATTCCTTTCAGTTTTTAATCATAGTATCTCTAAGTTATGCGTTAGATTAATTTATTGAAATCTCATTCCCCTCCACCAACATCATGACATTGTCAAGAACAATGGTGTTTAGAATTTTGGAAAACAATCAACTCGATCAAATGAAAAATTCAAATGACATCAGAGCACAAACAAGAAGCAGGAAGCTTGTAAAGTTTTCAGCAGAGTGACCCATCCCAATTTCAGATTTAAAGAAGAGTCAACTCTCTCGACATATCAACGTATTTTTTTCAGGTAACAGGTGTCGAGAAAAACAAGATTCATCGTTTATAGACTACCCAGAATAAACCGTATAATAAAGGATCGTGTTGTTTTCAATCTTGGTCCCTACGTAATGGACCGAACAAGAGATTCGGCTTCTTTTCAATGCACTTTTTTTCAGAGTTGGTTCTCAAACTAGCAATGATTTCCAAAACTCAGGTGAAATAACGGTTTATAGAAAAGTGTCAATCAACTAGTCGAAGATAAAAGTATACATAAATATAATTTTCTCTTTGAGAACAATTAATATTGCATGTCAGTGCGTCTACATGAATTACATTTATAAATCTAACTTGGCTTGATGAAGGCTTACAATGAATAGTGAGGTGGTTCTAAGATAAGTCAACATATCACTTCTGCTTCCAGTATTAGAATATTTAAACTGGCGTCTGATGAGGATGAAGATAAAGGTCAACGCGCTGAGTCAATCGACGACAGCGTACCTCAAATTAATAATGAACCAGACAGAATTTTCCACTTCTCCAGGGCAAATAATCCTGATATTTTTTCATAAAGAAAGGAAAACTGAAGGCTAAATCATCGGCTTCGACGGATACCGATTGCTTCAGGACTTATGGAAGCATATTAACTAACGCTTTTTATAATTGTGCCTGAATAGAACTCTTAAACGAGTTCTAAACAAGTACACAAATTTTGGTTGGCAATGTTAACAACCGATGGCTACTAAAAGGATAGATATTTAAATTCACAATCAGAAAGAAAATTAAGCATATCAACTTTTCTTCTTCAGCTCACAACATTGTGATGGTATCTTCAATGGCCAACTGGTGTTTCATCCTTGTTTTCTGTAAGCGCCCTAGCTGTTTACAACCATTATCTAAAAATTTTAAGCTTTTTAATTTTTTTTTCTAATTCAGAGGGAGGGGCCCCATGGGTGGGATGGGCGCCACTGGGAAGGGAAAACAGGTATTGAAGACTTAAAGGATGAACGAAGATAGCATCTGCTGAAAGATGAGAAAGAGATCGTTATCTCTCTTTAATATGAGTGTATCATACAACTTAAACTATGCATGTGAAATGGGCGCATTAAAATTCCATTGAAGTTGAAACCTTGAAGTTTGGAAATCGTCATTCGTTTTGTGGGTCTTTTGTCCCAGTTCAAGCAGAGGTCGATTTGTAGGTACTGCTTTACTCTCTCCTGTGCGGAGGATAAAAAAAAGGAAAGTGTATTTTTATTAAGATTTTTCTAATGGTCTAAAATCTAATAACAATTAATTGTTTTTGTTGAAACCAGACTAATTGATTTGTTGCAGTTATTCCAGGTTTGTTGGAATATGATAAGCAAGCACAAGGCTGGGAACGAGTGCAGGAATTCGATGGAAAAAAATTTATTTTAGTTCCACGGGGACATTATGTGGAACTAAACTTTACGATACGCAGCTACTTTCCACAAACCTGTCTATGGGGATTTAATCTTGAAATTCGTGATGGCCGTAATCAGGCAACAAATCTTCTTGGTGAATTCTGTGGAGATTACGGAACTGGAGTAGTGCGATCCAGTGGACGATACATGTGGTTAAAATTTATCCGGACAGATCTCTATAACTATATCTCTGTATTCTATACCGCCAGATCCATCAATGAAACAGGCATGATCTTTCTTTCAATAAATATATACATATATATATATATATATATGTACACCCGTTTTCAAAAACGCTGCAATTTGAAATTACATATGAATATATATATGCCTTTGTTTATTCATCAAAAAGTGTCTATTCCTGATTAGAAAAGAAAAAATATATACATATCAAGTACTTTCAAACTTGCAACGTTTTTGTCTATATATGCATGTATCCATGTATGTATGTATCCATGTATGTATGTATGTATGTATGTATGTGTCTATCTATCTATCTATCTATCTATCTATAACTAACTGCAGACAGTATTGTTTCGGCCTTCTGGGCCTCATCAGTGCAGTGCTGATGCTAGGATGGAGGTAAGGCCATATAGCCACCACAAGAGATCTCACACGTGGGATCATCTAAGCCATGCCAGAGTGCTCAAACTAGAAAAACTAGTGAGCATGCGCAATGCTAGCAGCAATGACTCATCCTAGTAGAGTGCTCAATTTGGACATTTGCCAATTTGGACATTTGCCAAAGAGCTATATCTAACTATATATATATATCTTTCTTTATATATATATATATATATATATATATATATATAAGTTAAAGAATTAAAAAGGACGCATCGATTCTCTGTGACTCTGAGTTTCGCGCCTAAGCGCTCGTCAGACAGAACTTTATTCAATGAAGAACATACCTCCTTATATACATATTAGATAAGTAGCTAATTAATTCACTAGTGTGATGACGTTTTAGCTCGATCTAATCTTAGACCAAAAGAGTGCAACAATTCGAAATGGACGATATCACATCTGACTGCACGAATGAAAATTTCTGAACAATTTCAATACTGAGGGGTTGGTCTTCAAAATTGTGTGAGACATTTCGATATTCTTATAGGCTTTGCAATTTATCTGTCAAGTTTACCGATGAAAACTTAATCGATTTGCATTACGACGGAGGCCATTGCGGGAGATCCATTTTGAAAAACGCAATTCCCTAACAAAGTCTTTTAGGTTAGTATCTTAAGAGTCTTCGGACCAAATTTCAAGGCAATTAGTGAAGTTTACATACTCTATTGACTCTTCAAAGAAATGCACATTGGCATGCAAACGACGTAGACTGTTTTATGCTTCCAAGGTTTTCCCAACAGCTCACGCGTTTGGGTAACCACATGTCAAGTTATGTGGAAACTCTGAAAAACTTAGAATGCCAACTCCTAATAGAAACATAAAAGCGTCTTGCAGAATCTCAGGAGACTCCTTGCAAAAACATGATTTGCGGTAACTGTTTAACAGTAACCTGTGATAGACCTTTAGTTCAATTCTGCTGAACGGCAATTTTTTAGTTGAATGTTTAGTGATCGACTGTTAGCAGCGAAAACTGCCCAAGTTACGAGGATTTATCCGTTTTGATGAGATTATTTCGCCATTCCGCGACGAATTTCTTTACCTCTTTTGCTGAAAGCAAGGCTTCTTTTTTCTTTCCACATATGGACTCTTTTCCTTTTCATCTTCCTTCATTCACATTCTAGTTTTAAACACAGACGAATGGAAAAGATTATCACGTCCATACTGTTTCTAAGGTATTCTGAAAACATGCACCATAATCATTCTTACATTATTATTATTATTATTTTTTGAAACTGATACAGTCAATCCTACGATGGACCAAGCTCCAAAGACGCAGTATGTATTTTTGAACAGAACCTCTAAACTGTGGTGCCCAGTGAAAGGTGCGCCGGCTCCATACATTGTATGGAGAAAAGATGGTGTCGCTGTTCAAAATAGTACCAGCATAACATTTCGGCTTAAAGTAACATCGGAAAACAACGTGAATTACAGCTGCGAGGTAAGAGGAGATGGAGAGGTGTCAAGAAGGAACATCAGCCTTAGAATTGAAGGTGAGGTTTTATTGTTTTGTTGATGTATATCAGCACTTTTCATAATTGGATTGTCTAAACCTGTACTTTTTTATTTGCTCAAAATTCTAAGCACCCAAAAAAACGTTTAAGCTACTTTGGTGGTTGGATCTTATTTCACCTTTCAAAAGTAATCTTTCTATATCCCTTTAGTTTAACTTGTATGTTGTTTTTAGGTTTGAATGTTAATTATTGGTATGATAGTTATCTGGTGAAGGGAAAGGCGTATATGATGATAACCAAAGGAAATTCACATTTGTACGCTTAGACTTGTTTCTATTTCAAGTGAAGTTACTATGCCACAGTTTGTCGATTTTGGCGCCTGCATACAGTGTACCTGAAGTGCGTGTTTTCAATCCAGTTTTCATCTTTGATTCATGATCAGTTAATTTACATCGTAACTCTGAAGTGCTCGTTTAATCTTGGTAATTTTGATTTTACAGTAATGTTCTATCAAAGTGAAATATTCTTCGTTGCCCAAACAACTGACTTAAGTCTTTCAAATTTGAAGCCTTTGTTGACGAATTTTAACGGCCAATCATTTCTTGCCTCATTTTAGAGTGCCCACAACCTTGCGAATGTGACGTCTTCCACCAAACTATGGTGTTTAGTGTGAATTGTAGTGGAAAAAGCTTTAATTCAATTCCATGGAAATTTCCGCCTGCCATGTCAAAATTGTGAGTGTAATTAAAAAGTTATAAACACCAAGAAAATATTGACGCGGAGGAATGCTTCTGCACTAAAAGCCCTATTCTTAGAGGAATTCCTCTTATGCTATTGTAGGCCTTATTCTCAAAGGAATTACTTTCATGTTGTTGCAAGACTCAAGTCAATTAGGACAGCCCCAGGACAATGTAAATGTACCGTAACTTGTAGTCGAGTCGTGGGAATTCTTAATGTGCACGATGTTCTACGTTGGATTAGCTATATCCTCCTAGAATCTACAAGGAAGGGTGTGATCTTAAAATAGTTTAAGAGAGATAAGTTCAAGAATAAGGCTTACATGTGGGATTCAGTCACTTTACTTGATCCTCTCTTAAAACTAGTAACGCGTATGTCCTGAACCGTGCGAACTGAACACCCTGTTACAACTGTTAATGTTGTAACGACAAAATGAAGGTTCCTTGATTCTCTGTGCTGCCTTCTGAGCGGCAAGTCGTAAAGGAGGACGTTGTATATCATTTTCAGGAGCTTTTTCTATGTTTTCGTTAGTCGGTATGTCTGACATCTCTAACGGATAAAGTTTCTCTATAGTTCGTGATAGTTCCTTTCCAGAAGGTACTCTTAGAGATACAGATCTTACGAGTTCATCTTTCCCCGTGTGTAGGCTAGTTACCACACCTATTTTCCATTGGTTTCGTAGTGTGTTATCGTGTATGAGAACAACATCTCCAATAGCAACTGCCTTTTTGTTTAATATTCTCTTTCGACAAGTGTGATGTTCTCGCAGACTTGTCAGATATTCAGTTTTCCATCGTGTCCAGAAGGCTTTTATTAGTGTTTTCTGATACTGAGCCCTTTTTGTCAGTGCTTTTGTTGACATCTCAGATGGAATATAGTCTGGATCTGCTTCGTTTTCTTTAGCATTCGTGTCCGGTAATGTTAGGAGACGGAATCCACATAAGAAATGTGATGGCGTCAGAGGAGAGGCATCGTTGATGTCTGTGTAAGGGTATGTTAAGGGTCGGCTGTTTAACACTGCTTCTACTTCAGTAAGTATTGTGTTTAGTTCAATCATGTTTAGGCAGGCTTTCCCCAGATTTTTCTTTAAACATCTTTTCATTAGACCAATAAGCCGCTCGTAAAATCCTCCCCACCACGGAGCTCTTTCAGTTATGAATTTCCATGTTATGTTGTGATGAGCGAGGAACTGTTGGGATGAACCTGTTCCAAGGATTTGAGTTTTGATTGTTTGAAGTTCTTGAGCTCCGGCTTTGAAGGTTTTTGCATTGTCTGAAATGATACACTCCGGAACTCCTCGACGGCTTATGAATCGTCTGAATGCTCTAAGGAAGGCATCGGTGGTCTGATCTTCTACTAATTCAAGGTGTACGGCTCTCACTACCGCACATGTGAAAAGACATATGTACATTTTAGATGAGGTTTGATTTGCCTGGTCGCGGACATATAGAGGTCCTGCGTAATCGATCCCTGTAAATTGAAAGACTTTTGATTGTTGGACTCTTGATTGTGGTAACGGTGGTGTAGGTACAGAGCGAAAGGGTGGTCCTTCGACTTTTCTGCATGTTACGCACTTTGATATGATTCTTTTTACGAGTTGTCGACCTTGAGGTATCCAATATGTTTGTCTGATGTGAGTAAATGTTTCTCGTACTCCACCATGCATGACCTGCTTATGCATAGATTGGACGATGAGTGTAGTTAAGTAGTTGTCCTTTGGTATGAGGATAGGAAATTTTGTGTCGTGAGGCAGATCTTTAAGCCACAGGAATCTCGTTGCGTCCCTGTCTAGGGAGTTCAGTTCGATCTGTAAGAAGACCTTTTCTATATCTGCAGAGAAGGCCTTTTTGTGTGTTCTGAATTTTAAGAGAATGCCTGTTAAATCTTGCATCAGATTTGGTCCTGTATGTAGACAATCATTGAGGCTCGGAGATTTAGGTGACATTCTGGCAGAAGCGTCATAGACTATTCGCATTTTTGTTGTCGCGCTGTCTGATTTGAAAACTGGGAAGTGTGGCATGTAGTGTAAAACACCTTCGTGATGATCGAGGTTTTGAACTTTTTCTATGAACCCGAGGTTAAGTTGTTCAAGGAGTTGTTCGTTATACTTCGTTATAAGTTCTGGGTCTTTCCTGTTTAGACTGTTTTGTAAGCTGTTCAGTCTGCTCTTGCTCAAATTGTAATTGGCTGGTAGATCGTGTTTGTTTAGCTTCCATGGAAGTTTTACGTTATATCTACCGGTTGCTTCGTTAAACCAGATAGTTTCTCGAAACTTTCTGATGATTTCTTAGTCTTGTTTGTTTTCTTCTGGTATTTGGTTGATTTCCCAGAACTTGGTTAGTAGATTGTCGAGCTTTTCGTCTTCTACTGGCATGATTTCTACCCTTTGACATAGGGTGGTTAAATTGTTTTGACTGTTCTTCCCTTTGTAAATGGGACCTGAGAGAAGCCATCCAAATTTGCTTTCCATAGCGATTAAGGCTTCGTTTTGGGTTTTAATTACTTTTCCGGTGATCAGTTGACCGTAATAGTCGTTTCCAATAATGATGTCTACTTTAAGATTTTCTGATGCATGTGAAGGATCAGCAAGTTTAAGTCCTTGTAATTCCGGCGGTATCTGTAAATTTTTCACCTTTGCCGATAGTGGTGGACAAATAACTGGAGTTACTAGGGCTGTTATTTTGATATTTTCTACTTCTGTTGACAATGTCAATGCCACAAGGTCGTATGTTTTTCTATTGCCTTGAAGTGTACCGAATGTCGTCACATCTAACAGTTCGCTTCCCATTGTTCCTAACTTAAGTTTGTGTTTCATCTCCTGAGTGATAAAGGTTCTTTGTGATCCTGTGTCAAATAGGATGCGAGCTTGATAGTACTTTTTATTGTTTCCACTTATTTTCGTAACGGCGGATTGCATCAGGATACGAGCTTTAGAAGGGAGTACATGCGTTGCTCCCATGTGGGTTCTGTTCTTCGACACGGAATCCGCTGATAGTTGATCATTCTTCGGCCCTTTGTCATCCTTTATTTGACTAGAAGCGCTTTGGGTTGTATTTTCTTGGTTTTCATCACAAATTGAAGTGTGGTGTTTTTTCTTACATTTCATACATCGCCCCTTTGAGAAACATTGGATTTTTGTGTGGTTGAGACCAAGACAGTTAAGGCAGCGCTGTTGGCGCTGAAGTAGGGATCGTCGTTCCTCTACTGTTTTAATCTTGTCGCACTTTTCAGGTCGATGTGTTCCTGCACAGTACGTGCAAGGCCTAGGTGTCTTTTGTTTGCCGTTGTAAGTTCCGTGTCGTCGTTGTTGTGTACCGGTTAGTAGCGCACCAGCTGTTGGCACAAGCACTTCGTCCTCTGTGGTTGGTTTTGGAGAGGACATATGGCCCTTCTCGCGAGTTTAGATTTCCTGTCGCATGGCGATTCTCAATCTGTTTAGGGAACTGTCCGCTGAAGGGTCAGCTCTGAATATTGAGTACCGAATTTCTTCGGGTATTTTCTTTAGAAGAATGGGAATCAATAAGCTTCCATAAGTTTCCGTTTTTACTCCAAGTGCCTCTAAACCGCGAATGTTTGCCTCGCAGGTGTCGTAAAACGTTCTGAGATTTTTGGTGTCAGCTGGTGGCGCGTCGATCTTGGATAAGGACTCCATGTAAGCGTTCGTCAAAATTTGTGGTTTGCCGAAGCGCTCCTGTAATAGCTCAATTGCTTTTTTATAATTTTCTTCAGTCAGTGGCAGTCCAGAGATAGCGCGCGCCGCTTCTCCCTTAAGCATTCCATTTAAGTAATTCATTTTTTCAATATCGCTTAGTCCGTGATTTTTATCGATAGCTGCGCTAAAGCTGTCCCAGAATGTGAGCCATTGAAGTGGGTCTCCTCCGAATGATTTTATGTTTATTTTAGGTAAATTGATGTGCATTCGTGGGGCGGGTTCTTGTTTTAAACTACTATAATGGAATTGGCTCACGGGCGTGTCTTGTTTGCTCTTAAAGAGTCGTCCGATTTTGAATTGCCAGTATGATATGTCGTCTTGGAACGACAGCGCCGTTTCTGTGTCTAGTTGTATGTCCTCTTCTGTCTCCAAGGACATCACGATTTTGGCATCCATGCGTGCTATTTCTTCGGCTCTTCGCGTGAGCCTGTCTACCGGTGCCTCCAATTCTGCTTGATCTGGAGTCTCCGAAGTTATTAGTTTTTCTGCTCTTTTGAAGTCTTGGGTGCAGTGTCCCTTGTATGCTCCTCGGATGGATCTCCATTTCTTTATTTCTTCTTCGCTCATTATATCTTGTCCGCGCTGGTCACCACACCAATGTTGGCACCAATGTTACAACTGTTAATGTTGTAACGACAAAATAAGACGAGTAAACGTAACGTCTTCTTCCTTTATTGTTGTTGTTTTAATTACATGTCGCGCGCATTGTGACGTAGTTAAATAACATAATTTATGACACACTCAGCGCGTAGTATAATAACAAAGTGGGAAATGAGGGATTTGCTTTATCGGGTTGATCAAAGAGTGCAATAAGTTGTCAAGCCACGCTTACGAAGAATCTAAACTCAACTTAAGTTTTAACTTTTAATTTCAACGAAGGTTGCAGTATACAGAGCTGGAATTGTTCAATAATACGTCACTGAAATAAAAGTGAAAAAATAAACTCATCAGTTCAGTTTTGTTTGTCTGTTAACGTTGCGACGAACTTAGTTTGCGCTACTTTTTCACTTTCACCGGTGACCAGAAATCAATATAACTATCTTGATGTCTGGGATACAAAACATTATTTATACGAAGACTACAGATAAGGAATAAATTCTTCGATCAATAAAATTTGAACCATAAAACAATTGCTCAATACCAAAGGGAGTAAAAGAACGCTAATCATAGGAACCGCTGCATGAGCCAATTGCTAGTGCTGCTCTTAACATTGCAAAGCTCAGTGGCCCACTGGTGTGGGTGTTTGACTACAGAATGACAGGTCCGGGTTTAAGCCCTGGCCAGATCAATGTATAGTGTTTTTGAGAAAGGCATACTCTCCAGCCAGGGGTCAAAAATAGATATTGCGAAACTAAGAAACTACAAAAACTATTGATGAAGTTCCCGGCGATGGGCTATCTTTCCATTCAATTGGACTATCACTACTTTTAATAACCCTACTCTTCAGAAAGTGGCAAAATATCCGGCGGTGATGGGTCATGACTAGCTCCGCCCAACCTTTATTTGAACACCTCAAGTGTACTTGATGGGTCATTAGGCTGACGAGAGTAAACTATGATTCAAGATACGATATCGGTAATTTATTAGTTACTTTCTTTATGTACCTCCTTATAGTTTTCATAATGAAGAGATTAAACGTTCAGGTGTCATTCTTATCGTAACGGTTGTATTCAGCATGTACTTTACACGTTTCTAACGTTATCTTGATAGGTACTTGAGCAACAACAAGCTGAGAGACTTGCCCCAAGGAATCTTCAGTAATTATACCCAGCTGGAATTGCTGTAAGCCAAGACTATTTCTTATCCGTGTCAAACTCATTTGTAAGGATTCTTGATAGGAATGTGAATAATGGTGAACGAAAGGACTCCTTTCCGAGTAATTTGCAGTTATAATGTTGAGTCTTTCTAGCTCCTAAAAATCATGACTAGCTCCGCCCAACCTTTATTTGAACACCTCAAGTGTACTTGAACTCATTTCTTCAGTCACTGTGTCAGTGACACGGACTAACGTGTGACCTTGTGGCCTAATCGTCCGGATGAGGGTAGTCCTGCGAAGGACAATATTCTTTAATCAACCCTTAGGATAACCTCCCCCGGACTTATAGAAACGTTGGAAATTGGTTCCGAACACAATTCCTCGCAGCACCACTCTCACCCGTACAATGATAACTACCCGATAAATCTTTTTCATTTGGGGATCCTCCCCGATAGAGATTGCGAAATCCCCTCTACCCTCCCTGCTTTTTTAATGTTCATGGTATTTAATCAATACCCTCGCAAATCTAAGAACTAAGGCACAGTCTCCAAAAATTAAAAAATACTCAACGTGAAAATGGAACATGCTCACTTACAGTTCTAGTTAAGCAAAAAATAGGCTATATTCATATAGAGAAGGAAGGATTACATATATTTGTCTGAGCCTCCATATCAAAGCGTGCAAGAAAGTACAGCATTACCGGATATATACTTTAATTTAACGTAATTATCGAATACATGGCAATGAACAACACCCTCTATCAATTCTTGGCAGGGAAATGAACAACAACCTGTTGAAGGAATTACCATCAGGCATATTCAGTAACAATACCAAGCTGTCCTTCCTGTAAGTTAGGACTCATCCTTCTTTTTGTAAAAAATGCCTAAAAAATCTATCGCGCACTGGGCAAGATACCAGCAGATCAGAGCAGGCTGACTTTTTTTAAAGTAAACATTCATAGTTCTGATCAGATAGAGGCACCGAAAATGAAAAGTGAAAACAGAGAGTAAATGAACCAATCAAAGTGCTTACAAGAAAACTTTTGCTGTAGAGTGTAGAACCTAGGTTGTCTTCAGTGACATGACTCAGCTGTGGCAGGCAAACAATGAGTGAAAAACATTTCTGAGCATACAAATTTATTGACATAACTTTATTTACAAAAACGATGTTGTTAACCCTACTTTGAATTTATTTTGGTATGTTCTTACGAAACAACCAGTTAAAGAGATTGCTATCTGGTATTTCCAATAACAACATCCAGCTAACTTACTTGTAAGGTTGTTGCCTTATTTAAGTAAAAACGCATAAAATTCATCCCATCTCGGCAAGAATATCATCAGAACTAAGCAGCTATTTACAGCAATTTTAAAATTTTCCTCAGTCACTTCCTAGTTTCCCCTTCTCAATTACTACACTCCTAAATTTCGCAAGAAGTTTTCGATGATAGGTTTCTTCGCACAAAAACTGGTCAGTCAGGTTGAAAAGAAAACCCAGTAAAACGAAGAAAAGCTTCTATAAAATATCATCCAGTGAATAAACATTGGAAAGCATCGATCTATAAAACTTCTATTGAATCCATCTTACATGCAGGAAGGATGTAGTTTCTAATTACTTGGTAATGATTTACCCCAATAAAATCGGATAAATCATTAATAATTAATATATAGAAACCCATTTGAGCACTTCTCAGCCTTATTCCCTTTACAGCGTCGAGGTGGGAAAAGGGGAGAGTGGAGGAATTGCCGTTAGTGGCGTAGTTTTTCTACCCAATAGGAAGTGCGTCTCGTTTTGTCATTCAATCGTCCTTGATTTCGATAGATGAAAAGAAAACTCAGGCACGATATTAGTTATTCGAATTTCTCAATAAGGCTCTCTAAGAGTTCTATTCACTGTGCATTTTGTCCAGAGGGTGTGATCGTCACTTTTGAATGCGGGTTGCAAGTTTAAATTCCACAATAAAACGAGAATCTGTATAAAAAAGGTAAACGTTATTTATGCTAGAATACTGATTAAGCGAGGCTGTCGAGAGGTATACCCATTAGTCAGATTTTCTTCATTTTCAATAAATCTGCTTGTAACCAAGTGTAGATACCGTTCGCAAGTTTCAATTTCTCAATTAAAGAAAATCGAGAAGGATTTTTGGGATAACTATAAAAAACATCTAATGCAGAGTATGAACTTCGACTTGCATAAAATTATGCACGATTTGTTGTTTTCCCTCCCAAATTGTAGGAAGGTCTTGTAATGGTAGGACTGTGGTGCGTGATATCGTGACCTTGTGGAACCATGTGTTTTTGAGCTAGTAGGCCATCAAACCTGTCAAACATGTAATTTACCCTCGATTTACACTTCAAGCTGAACATCTATCGAGTAGTGTCTTCCGTCACATATATCGCGTCAGAAGCCCTCGATATACAGTCTGGTTTCCCCTTTGTCTCTAAGAAGAGAAAGGTAGAATCGATAAAGTATTAAAGACGTGGAATACTTACTGCTTGACAAGACGAACACAGTTTTTGAGCGCTAAACAAATTTCAGTCTCAATAGAGTGAGACTGACATGCAAGAATGTGAGTGGATCTGGACTCATGACCAGAGAGATGCCTTCGAAGAGATCAAAGACGCTGTTGATGGAAGCACCAGAACTCAACTACTTCAGAAAGGGTGACCCAACAGAGGGCCAGGGAGACGCGTCCAAGAATAGACTTGACTTTTTACTGATGCAGCATGATGAACCAGAGACACTCTCGCTGGCAGAGAGGAAGTATTCTAAGATCGAGAAAAAATTTTAGTTCCCGGTCTTTGGCATGGAGCTTAACCACCAATATCTTTTCGTTAAGAAAGTCATTCTGCGGACTGATCAAAAAGCCCTGGTCTTTATTATGCAGAGGCCCTTAGCATCAGCACCCAAGAAGCTAGAGTGCCTTGTTACCACTTCAGCAGTATGACTACGAGACAAGCTACAAGCCTAGGAGAGGTATGCTGCCGGCCGGCTATCTATCGAGAGCTTTCATGAAGGACTGTGATCGCACTCATACGAACCACTTCCTTTCCGTTCCAGATCACCGACTCAATGAAACCCAGAGAGAGAGATTTTATGACCCAACTTTACAAGGGCTAAAAAGAACAATCTTGGATGGCTTCCCTGATACAAAAGATGATCTCCCAGCAGTCATCCATCCGAGTTACTCCAGACGAGCCTCAAGCACCCCCGTTAGCAGACGCCACAATATGACCCAACAACTAGACGAAGCCACAGCGGCAAAACCAAGAACTGGCCGGTCACTTTCTGTAACACCTGACAAGCCCCAAGTAGTCGAGACCAGACCATTAGACCTGGACGGGTGTCAAAGCCATCAAGTTACTTGCAGGACCATGCATAAGTAAAATCGAACAGCTGACTGTAGACTAACGTCCTCACCCATCTGCCGCTTGAGAGTTCAAAGCCACAGTGTACATATCATTGACTGTAGGGCATGCAAATTTTGCTTCATAAAGCCTAATCAGGAGACAAATATGCCGGTTTTCTTTTAATCATCTCTTTTGAAATCTGACGCAAATTATTTTAAACGCAATTTTTATTTTAAACCATGACCATACCTGGCATTATAAACCTGAACATAGCGTTCTAGTTCGCACCTGCTTAATTTAACACGCTGTTTATAACTTTTGATATAACTATTGAGACGTTTTGTGTCATTAGCTTTTATATGCGCGTTGTTGATGCACAAAGGAACGATTACAAAATCATAAAGATAGAGGTAAACATTGTAAGTACGTTCGTTACTACGACGTAGAGACAATCATTAACTTACCACTGGCGGTAGAAAGATCCTGTCACTGAGTAGAAAGTACCACACATGGAGATCCGATCGCAATGACTATCTGTGCTCTAAGCATCCAACCTCTCATCACGAGTCTACATGTAACATCCACAGCAAAGCAGTGCTCGTTCGCCGATGATGCAGGAAGGACAGGTTCTACTACAGAGATGAAGAGATAGTGAGACATGTTGAGTACCCTAGGTCCAGATTTTGGCTACTTCTCAAACGGCAAGAAGCGCTGGATTATCGCAAAGCCGAACAAGAAAGAAGTATTTAAGGAAACGGTCATTAACATAACAATAAAAGCGAAGATACATCTGGTCGCGGTGATAAGCTCACGGGAGTATCAGGAGGATTACGTCAGTGAGAAGGTGTCTGATTGGGTGAGTGAGGTAGTTCAACTGGCAAAGTTCGCTGAGAGAAGAGGCACAGGTATGCTGTGCTGACTTCACCTTCGGCTTAAAATATCCGTCGACTTACCTCCTAAGAACCAGGATCTACTAGAGCCACTGAAGAATGCAATATCTCCACTACTTATTGTTGCAATAACGGAACGCAATTGTAATCAGCCAGATTAAAGGGGAGTTCCGTAATGCTATCAAACTATAATATGACTGGCCAGTCGATGATATTCCCTCCCCATGCCCACATGTGTATGCGGGGAAGTCTTTACGTTAGACCACGTCATGATTTCGTACAATGAAATAATGAGCTGAGAGACCTGGACCCTGAACTCTTATGTGTTGTATGCAACGATTTGAAGGCGAACCCTTCCCTCAAGACATCAGCAGAAAACAACTGAACAGAGGAGCTAACAAAGCACAAGGTTGATCAATGTTGCACATGGATTCTGCGAACACCAACCATCGGCATTCTTTGAGGTCAGGGTTTTCCAACCAAATACCATGTCCTGTAAGAGCCTAGAGCCACAAAATATCTACAGCATGCATGAGAATGAAAAGAAGCGACAGTATTCAAGGACAGTTCTCGATATTGAACACAGAACATTTACACCCTTAATATTTACCACAACCGGAGGATAATTCTTATCAGAAGTGCTATTTTTATCATAACCATTGTTGTTATTGCTGTGATTGAAATTTTTTTTTCTTTCAATAAAAATGGGCCTTTGTTTTGTATCCTTAACACTCAGACTCTTCACTGGCTGTCTTGTCATTGAAATGCGATTCATGTTCGATTTTGAAGGATTTCATGAGGCAAGAAAAGATCAAATGCAACGTCAGGGAAAGAAAAAGAGTTAAAAGCATTATTTACGCATCGACGTCAAATAAACAACTATGACAGTTTGCCGCTCTATGCTTGCGAGGTGTCAGTGGATGATGAACCAAGTTTCAATGAAACCATTAGGCAAAAGGCGAGAAAATGCCGTAGAAGAAAATTGAAGTACTCGGTTTTGAGTTCAGAAATGTTCTTTACATTTTTATAGAGCTGTTTCATGTGTCCCCAAAGGTTATTAACCCTTCAAGTAAGATCCTCTGTAAGACAAACGATCTTACTTGAATTAGTCATAAAAGGTAGTATCGATAAAAATCTTAGTTTCTTAGCGGATGTGTTATTAAGCCTCATTCAGAACATGAAAGAGATATGTTCTTTTGTATTGTTTGCCCATAACGATAAAAAGTAACCTAAAAACAAAATTACAAAGGAACTCACAAATCAGTAGTGCTTGAGCCAAGGGTCAAGAGTCAAAAAACATCAAGAGATCCAGATTGACAAGGCCACTCGAAATCAAAGGGAAAACTAATTGAAAGGGACACTAACTCAGCTTTTGTATGCGTGTGGTGATGCTCAAAGGACCGATTACAAAAACCGAAAAAAAAAAAACAACACAAAAGTAAACGTTATAGGTACATTCGTGGCTAAGACGTGGAGACAATTATTAACTTATCACTGGCGGTAAAAAGATCCTGTCACTGAGCAGAAGGGATCACACAGGGAGATCCGGTCGCTATGGCTCTTTTTGTTCTTAGCGTCCAGCCTGTGATCACATGTCTACAGGTGGCGTCCAGAGCAGAGCAGTGCCGTTTCCCCAATGATGCTGATGGGATAGGTTATATTACAGAAATGAAATAGTAGGGCATGCGGAGTACCCTGGGTCCAGATTTTGGCTTCTTTCCAAACAAAGAGGAGTGATGGTTTCTCGCAAAGCTGGACAAGACAGAAAGTGTGAAGGAAGTATTTAAAGAAAAGGACATTAACATAACATTATACAATGGCAGGCACAACAGGACACGGCGATAGGCTCACGAGAGTATCAAGAGGAATTCGTCAGTGCGAAGGTGCCTGATTGGGTCAGCGAAATAGGTTAATTGGCAAAGTTCGCTTAGACACAGCCACAGGAATACTATGCCGTTTCCACCTTCGGCTTAAAACATCGGTGAACTTATTTTCTGGCAACACTGCTAAAGTATCAAGATCTATTAGAGCCATTGGAGAATGTAATATCTCTGGGACTTATTACTGGGATAACGAAACGCAAGTGTAATCAGCTAGATACTAACATCCAGCGCTCGTATTTACCAAGGAGGGGCCGGTGCATTGCAAATCCAAGGCGGGAGTACGCTTCCTCAGTCAAAGTGACAACGCACCTCGTTAAGCATCTCAAACATCTTAAACACACCAGCTACTAGACGAGTCTCTTAGTAGTCGGCACACAACGTAATCAGTTGCGAAAGACCAACTGACCAACGGAAAACACAAAGAAACCAGGGTAAGGTGCTTGACCTGGCAGCTGAAAAAGGGTCATCGGTGTGGCTGACAGTACTTCCTCTCTGAGAAATGGGCTCCAATTTGATTAAACAGGAGTTCTGTAATGCTGTCAAACCACAATATGACTGGCCAGTCGATGATATTCCCTCCACGTATCAACGAGTGTATGCGGACAAGTCTGTACGGTAGACAACACCATGATTTGTAAACAAGGCGGATTTGTCATACAACGACATAATGAGCTGAGAGTTCTCGACATTGAACACGGAACGTTAACATCCCTAATATTTACCACAACCGGCAGAATGAGTGACTTCGATAAGAATAAAATATGATTGTACTCGAAAGTAGTATCATAACTGCTATTATGAATACCATTGTTATCATTACCACTGTTGTCATAGCTGTGGTTGTATCATTTATTTGACACTTTGATTTTCAATTTTTTTCTTTTTTATCAAAATGGGCCTTTGCTAGGTATTCTTATCGCTCAGAATATTCACCAGCTTCCTGTCATTTAAATGCGATCAATATTCGATTTGATGGGATTTCATAAGGCAAGAAAAGATAAAATGAAATGTCAGGGAAAGAAAAAGAGTTAAAGAACGTGCTATGTGTACCGCTATCAAATAATCAACTATAAGAGTTTACAGCTTTACGCTTACGAGCTGTCGGTGGATTATGAACCAAGTCCCAATACGACCATTAGGCAAAATACGAAAATGGTTTAGAACAAAGTGGAAGTACTCGGTTTGAGTCCAGAAATGTTCTTTAGATTTTTATACAGCTGTTTCATGCATCCCTAAAGATTATTAACCCTTCAAGTAAGATCCTCTGTAAGCCAAAGTTCTGTGTTTGCGGTTATGGTACTAATACTGGAGACAACTTAAACTGCAGTTACGATTGTTCCTTATCGGTCTTAATTATAAATTGATATTTCTGTGAAACTTTATCAGCTTCAGAGCTCAGAAGCCTATTTTCAAAGATGACTGCAGTTCTAATGTTGTAAAATTACACACTATTGGCGGCTCTTTTATTCTGCCGTGACCATGGGAAATTAGCCTTTTCCCTGGCAGTCCTACCACAAATTAGTCGCAAATGGTAAAAAGGGAATCAATTGTGTTTATCGGGATTCCTCCTAAGAAGGATGTAATTGAAGAAATCATAGATGGATGTTGTTATAGACATCAGCAAACGAAGAGCGAGATTTAGAAATAGATTTGTTCGGTTTTTCAAAAACAACTCTAGCTGGTCAAAATATTGATGATAATGATAATGATAATGCGTTTAGATTGATAGAGCTACTCAATACTTGTTACAAATACTAACTGTCGTCTTTTGCTGAAAGGTACTTGCACAACAACCAGTTGGAGGACTTGCCAAAAGACATATTCAGTAACAATATCAACCTAATAGAGCTGTAAGTAAAAAAGTAAAGAGTATTTTCAATAGTTTTACTCCAGGCCTACTGAATTTGTAAAGAGAAGTCAAGAGGACATAAGCAGGTAAGTTGAGGGACAGTTGTAACATTTAAGGTATAACAATGATTAAACTTTGTCGCAAAGGTTATAAATTATGGTCACATTCTAAGTACGCAGGCTATTAATTATTCTGAAAAATTTATCTCGAGACCGATTTTGGTCAAAAGTACTCGCCGGTGAAACCTGTAGTACTAAGCGTATGACGTAAAGCGCATGAAATGTGCTTATTTCCAACGGATGGGCGTGGAGAGACAACAAGAAAACTCAGGCACGATATCATTAATTCAAGTCTCTCGATAAGGCTCTCTAAAAGTCCTATTCACTGTGCATTTACTCTAGAGGATGTGATTATCGCTTTTGAATGCGGGTTGCAAGGTTGAATTGTACGATATAACGACAATCTATCTTAAACAAGGTATAAGTTATTTATGTTAGAATACTAACTATGCGAAGCTGTCGAGTGGTATACCCTCTAGTTGCATTCTCTTCATTTGCAATATAATTATTTATAATCAGGAGAGGATATCGGTCGAAAGTTACAATTTCTCAATTAAAGAAAATCTGAAAAAGCTTTTTGATATACTATCACGGAAAAACATCCAATGCAGAGTAAGAACCTCGACTTGCTTAAAACTATGCATGTTATGTTGTTTTCCCTCCAAAATTGTAAGAGGGTCTTACAATGGTAGGACTGTAGTGCGAGATATCGTGACCTGGTGACCTTATGTGTTTTTGAGCTGGTAGGCCATCAAACCGGTTGAAAGTCCTGTTTACCTTGTCTTTTCTGATAATTCGGACCGCTAATGCTACATGGTGGGATTGGAAATTCTCAGTACTGAGACATGTAGTAGCTTTTAAACTGTGTTTCAGTCGAATTTAAGCTGACTCTGGACCTAGACACAGCGACAGAATCTGGACAAATATGACGTCGCTAACAGATAGCAGTGGCAATGCATCAGTTCCAAGCCACAAACATCGGAGCAAATCTTCACTTCTAATGTTCAAGTTCTTCCGAGGCTAGAACTTCGTGGAGATCTAGAAAAATATTGAAATAAATAACGTGAAACACGGAATTTATCTTCCATTTACACTTGAAGCTGGACGACTATCGAGTACCATCTTTCATTACATTTATCGGGTCAGAAGCCCTCCATATCCACACTGGTTTACCCTTTACCCTGAGGAGGAGAAAGGCAGGATCGATAAAGTCTTAGAAAGGATTAATTACTCCTAGGTAAGACGAACACAATTTTCGAGCGCTCAACAAATTTCAGGGAAATCGAATACAACAGTCAAGATGGAGTGACCAGCACATGTATCAGCAGTGCAGTGATTATTAGGGCTACTGAGGTACTTTTCTAAATTCTTATAAAAGCTTTCAAGAATGTTAGAGCCGCTACGCCGCCTGTTACGCAAGAAAGCCTGGTGGATCTGGACTCATGAGCAGAAAGATGCCTTCAAAGAATTCAAAGACGCTGTTTCTAAAGCACCAGTACTCAGTCCAAGGATGGGTTTTGCTTTTTACTGATGCAGCATGGTCAACCAGTGACATATAGAAGTAGGGCGCTCTCGGTGGCAGAGAGGAAGTATTCACAGGTCGAGAAGTAATTTTTGGCGTCGGTCCTTGGCATTGAGCGTATCCACCAAATAAGGACGGCTTCTTTACTGCAGAAGATGATCTCCTTACGGCAATCCATCCCAGGCGCTCCGGACGAGCCTCAAGTACCTCTGCTAGCAGACGCTCAAGTATTATTTTCACAACAAGGCAAAGTCATAGTGGCAATACCAGTAAGGCTCAGTCTCTGTCTGTAATACCGGACAAGCCCTAAGTAGTGGATGTCGGACCACTAGATCTGATCAGGGACTATAGGGCATGCAAATTATGCTTCATAAAGCCTGATCAGGAGACCAACATACCAGTTCCCTTTTAATCAACTCTTTTGAACTCTTAAATAAAAAAATTAGATTATTTTGCACATAATTTTGATTTCAGGTCATGACTATACCTGGCAGTATAAACCTGAACGTAGCGCTCTTCTTTGCACCTGCTGGATTGAACACGCTTCACATAATTTTAAATGGAACAATTGAGACATTTTGCGTCATTATTTTAAAATTTCCCACTCTTTTCCTTTATCGGTTATCAACCCCTAGCCTCCCCTGCAATCAATGTTTTCTGGCATATTATGAAGACAACACTACGTGACTGAACATAATCTTACCCGTTACATGCATTTTTGGGCAGCTTTTTAATCTTTTTAAAGCATTAATATGAAATACGAAGAGAAAACATCGCTCTGAAACAAAAGAGTCTGTTAGCGGGTGTGCCTCATGTAGAACATGAAAGAGACATGTTCCTTTGTAATGTTTGCCCATAGCTGTAGACAAAGACCTAAAACCAAACTTACAAAGGCACTTACATATCGGTCTTGCTTGAGCCTAGGGTCAAGAGTCAAAATGCATCAAGAGGTCCAGGTGGTCAAGGCCACTCGAAATTAAAGGGAAAATTATTTGAAAGGGATGCTGACTCAGCTTTTATATGCGCGTGGTAATGCTCAAAGGACCGATTACAAAGACAAAAACAAAACAAAACAAAAAAACAGAATTAAACGTTATAGGTACGTTCGTGGCTGAGACGTGAACACAATTATAAACTTATTAATGACGGTAAAGAGATCCTGTCACTGGGCAGAAGGGACCACGCAGGGAGATCCGATCGCTGTGGCTCTTTTTGTTCTTAGCGTCCAGCCAATGATCAGGTGTCTACAGGTGGCGTCCACGGCAAAGCAGAGCTGGTTCCCCAATGATGCTTGTGGGACAGGTTATACTACAGAAATGAGATAGTAAGGCATGCGAAGCCAAAATCTGGGTCCAGATCTTGGCTTCTTCCCAGACAAAAAGAAGTAATGGATTATCGAAAAGCCAAACAAGACGGAAAGTGTGAAGGAAGTATTTAAAGAAAAGGACATTAACATAACATTATAGAATAGAAGGCACAACGGGGCGCGGCCATAGGCTCACGAGAGTATCAAGAGAAATTCTTTAGTGAGAAGGTGTCTGATTGGGTCAGTGAAGTAGGGTAATTGTCAGAGTTCGCTCAGACACAGCCACAGGCATGCTATGCGGTTTCTATCTTGGGCTTAAAACATCGGTGGACGTACTTTCTGGCAACACTGCCCGAGGCATCAGGATCTACTAGAGCCACTGGAGAAAGCAATAACTCTGAGACTTATTCCTGGAATGTCGAAACGCAAGTGTAATCAGCTAGATACGGACATGCTAGCTCTAATGTTCTCCTTGGAGGCGCCTGTGCCTTGCAAATCGAAGCCGGAAGTACGCTTCATCAGTCAAAGTGTCAACGCACCTCGTTAAGTATCTCAATCATTTCAAACACAACAGCTAAAAGGCGAGTCTCTTAGTAAGTCGGCACAGAACGTAGTCACTTTCGAAAGACCAGGAGAACCACAAAAGATCAAGCGAGTGCTTGACCTAGTAGCTGGAAAAGGCTGTCAATACCTCCTTTCCAAGACTTGGGCGCCAACCTGATTAAACAGGAGTTCCGTACTGCTGTCAAACTACAATATGACTGGCCAGTGGATGATATTACAGCTGAACAGGGGATCTAACAAAGCACAAGGCTAGTCATTCGTGCACGTGGATTCTGCGAGCACAAATGATCGGCATTCTTTGATGTCAGGGTTTGCCACCCAAATGCCGAGTCCTATAAGAGCCTAGAGCCTCAAAAAACCCACAGATATACATGAGAATAAGAAGAAGCACCACTAATCAAGGACAGTTCTCGACATTTAACACGAAACATTAACATCCCTCATATTTACCACCACCGGCAGGAAGAGTGACTTCGATAAGAATAAAATATGATAGTACTCGAAAGTAGTGTCATAATTGTATCTTTCTCATCATTATCATTGTTATTATTGCTATGGTTGCTTTTTTCTTCCACAAAATGGGCCCTTGTTTGCTAACCTTAACACTCAGACTCTACACCGGCTGCCTTGTCACTGAAATGCGATAAATTTCGATTTCATAGGATTTAATGAGGCAAGAAAAGATAAGATGCAACGTCATGGAAAGAAAAAGAGTTAAAGAACATTCTATGAAAAGGGAGGAGGAGGAGGGGGGAGATGGCCACTGCTAGAGGCCTATTTTTTTGCCACCCGAAGAGAAGGGCGCTTCGTTGTGTCGTTCAATTGTGCTTGGTTTTGAATCTGCTAAAAAGGATGAGTTTGTTAGTTACGCCGTAGATGAACGATACACCATCAATGGAGTGACATCACAAAGTCTTTAACCTCTATGTGACATATCAAAACAAAGTCCTGTCATATTTAAAATAGGCAGGTTACTAATTTATCCTAGCATCCCAGTTGAACCTTGTTGCGTCCAAGAGTTGATTCAATCTGACAAGTTTATGAGGATCTAAGAGTCACAAGTACTCACCAGTGAAAAGTATAGAACTTAACGTTCAATGTAAGGTGAAGAAAGGTACTTATTTTCGATAACTGTACGAGGCCTAGAGAGACAAGAAGAAGACTAAGGCATAACATCATTTTTTGGAGTCTCTCAATAACAAATCCATCCATTGAGAGATAAAAATCACAGGGAGGACACTGTGTATGTAAAGTTAAAAAAAAAATTATTCAGACAATTTGTGTCTTGGTATGTTAAACTCCCCCCCCCCCCCCCTGGAATCAACGTCACCTGGCTTGTAATAAGGACTGCTCTAAATGACAGTGTGTAATCTTAGGTCTCAATATGTAAAACAGGGCAGATGACATCGGTTTTTAGACAATGTGACTTTGTCAGCAGATTATGATTCTAAAAAAATGTCATTTTCGAGCAAACACGGGGCCTGCACCATGTTTACAAGCACAATGTAATCAAAACCCCTCCCTATTACTTTTGGTAGGCTGTTGGACAACAACCAGTTGAAGAAATTACCATCAGGCATTTTCAGCAACAACACCC